TTTTTACCGCCTGCGACAATTACTGTTCAATAGGATGTACATACATACCTCTAAATGTGTACATATGTACATATAGATTCTCCTTTTCTTAAATATATTTAGGTCACCTTTATTCAAGGCTTCTTTAATTCTTTAAACTTCTTTAAATAAGGTATAAAAAGAAGCATTGAGTAAGTTTGATCTAACTTAATATGGTGCATTGGCTAGAGTATATCAGCTTCGGCGAGGAAAAGCCTTCATTTGGCTTGTGTTTTGTAACTGGGTACCGGTTATCTTGTACTCAAGCACTCTCAATTGTAGCATTCTTTGAATTTGAATTTATTGCCTTAGTGAATGTAAACTTGCTACAGTGGTTTAACTGTGAATTTTTGTACATACTCGTATATGTATGTACTTGCTCACATACAAATACATTATATATGTACATAGTGCCTGCTACAAAGTTTGTAACCTGCATCAACTCTTGGATTTTCACAGTTTCTTTGTGTACGTGTGTTGTGTAGCGCGATAACTTGTTATGCTAGCTGTAGAGTATTTTGTGCATATCCGTTTGAATATTTTACATGCAAGACGCCTTTTCTTGCCAACAAAAAATGAAAGTACCCATGGACAAGGCCGGACCATTATGTTTTCTTTCGCGTGCGAACTCATTTGGTAAAAATATAATTATGTTTTCTTGATGTGGTGTGTTTACGTAAGAGCGCGACTCTGTTCGTCCTTGTCGTTTTATAAACACCACAAAGTAAAAAACAGGGCCAAATAAATAGTCACAGTTATTAAATATAAATCTGTGTTGGGCATACATACATATTTATATATCTCTATTAGAAAAATTTAGGTGCTAGGAGAAAGTGAAATGGATTTTTTGGCTGGGTTACCTTTTACACGTTGCTTCGGCTGCGAACTGGCGACGCGTACCGTCTCAACATCAGGAAAATTCGAAAATATGGCCATAAACGAGAAAAGTGTAATAACCTGCTGAAATCCTTTGCGCTTCATCTTCAGCGGTATGGGTTAAATTTTCACAACAAAGTATGCAATTATTATTTCTTTCTTTCACTTTGGAGCTTTAGCCACGTCCCAATAACACAATTTTAAATTTGTTTGCTATTATCTTTTATGAGAAGCAGGAAGCAGGCACAGTTTACAATGAGACAATATTTTTCCTTATATACTAGGTGAAATATACTCTAGTACAACGCTACGAAGTACGCACACCGCGATTAACCACCAAACTGAAGCAGTAGCTGCGAACGTATGACTATATAAAATCTTTCAAACGTAAAAGTCAATGCAAACCAAGCTTACGAACGAATAGGGGAAAGGAATGGCTGAGTGAATCATTCCATGGCTCAAAGAGCGCAAGAAATTGCAGCAGCCAACTTGATCATGATCTCAGAGTAAGTCGTTCAGCTCAGAGCTGCCACAGCTCACAAAAGCTTCGTAAAGCACGAATGGATAAATACAAAAATAAAAAGACAACGTAGCCAGTTTTTTTTCTGTCTCTGAAGTCCAAATTAGAGAGGAGAGTGTTTTGGGCGGTTAAAATGTTTAAAATATGTTGAATTCCAAATATACATATAATCATACATATGTATGTATGTATGGTATATAGTAGTACTAGATTATCGAAAATATATAAGGCATATGTAGTATTTTTAGATCTGAAGAGTTTACACACCATTCGGACTATTATTTGAAAATTATTATAAAATATAAGGAAAGTTTATTTCCCAAGTCATTTGACCTATCAGGTTCTGGTATGTAATACATTGTAGATGTTATGTTCAGATTGGTCGAAGTGCGCGATATATGTACATAAATATATATGTACATAAGTACATAGCTATATTACGCCTTCAGAATCCTCAAAAATTTTGAAAAATTATGACAACTGGTCTGTTAGCGATCTACCTGTTCGTAATCGACTAATTAAACATTGTTAAAATGCTAGGAGTCCTCAAAAGCTACTCTACTCTGAGCTGACCTGTCATTCACTCAACATACTATGGACTGATGAAAGTAAATTGGTATTATTGGTCAAAAGGAAATTAAAAAAAATTCGTCAGCGATTGGTTTGCATCTGTTTAGTCGAAGAATTTTATGTGTGCTTTGGATAAAATGAATTTACGCATTTAAATTATTATGTGAGATCTGAAAATAAATCGGCAAATATTTATCTAAAAATATTTTTTTTGAAGTTTTATTTACAAATTTTTTTTTACATAATTTAAAAAATTAATTTTCACTAGTCTTAACTTAATTAAATTAAAAAATATTTTGTGTAGCGAAAATATCTCTTAACCATTCTTTATCGATCCAAAAAATTAAAGTTTTACAATTTACGTAGGCGAATACACAGAATGCACCAGAATAAAAGTTCAACTTTGAAAATTGATTGGAGAGCTCCTAGATATCGACGCACCGTATACGCATTAAGAATAAATTTTGTAAATTTCCCATTTAAAGGCAATTTATTTCATGAAAATATCTTATTTCGTTCAGAAGTTATTAATATACCAAGCTGAAATGGCCAAATGCTTCACTGTGTGACGTTTGGCCATGTTCAGCTCAGTCACCGGATCTCAATATAATCAAAAACTGATTGGGAAATGTCGTTTCTTTTGTACCAAGAGCAGAGTTTTGCCAATGGGCTCAACAACTATAGGTTCAACTCCTATTAAGGCGTTGGAATGACCTTATTGACACGTGCCAGGCAGATGCAGAGAAATGCAAAAATTATTAAAATCTTTGAATCACTAAGAAACATATATCTAATCTATCTATCTATCTATCTATCTATTATTTCCATATACTTTTAAAACAATATTATTTTCTAATTTTCTTGCAAGTTAACTAGTTTAACCGATTGACAGTATTTAAGAATACCTATCTAATATTCAATTAGACCCTTTTTTTTTTAATTTTACTTTTAATTATTTTTCTCTAAAATGATGTAGTACGAATGAAATGTAAAGCCAGAATGGTAGTACTCCTATGTACATATATGAACATAGTATGTACTTATCAATACATATATATATATGTATTCTTGATCAGCATCAATAGCCGAGTCGGTATATATTGCTATGGCTGTCTGCCCGTCCGTTTGATTAATGAGCTTCTAGATTTAAGTGATTTAAGATTTAAGAAAAGCAAGAGCAGCCCAATTTTCTATCCAGACTCCTCTGTGTATCACACCACACTGTTAGTATATTTAAAAATTTAATGAGATTCTGTGTAAAATGTCCACCAATTGTTACTCAGAGTGTTGGACTATAAGTATTTTAGCATGGCTAGACTGTGAGGGTGTGCCCATGGTTCACTATTTAATCCATATTATTTGAATGGAATTCGCTTTAATATCCGCTCTCTTTATATTGACATAACCAAAGAATATACATACAGACATATGCATGTACATCAATACACAAACGCCAAAAAACTAAAGAAACCTGTCACAATTAAAATACATTCACTTTTAGTTTCATTGTGCTTGGCACATACTACAAAACGAAATTCTTCGTAACATAGAAAACCAAATATATAATAAAAGACGGTTCATTTCATATTCAAACACCTTTCGGCATTTTACAACAATTTGGGATATCTTCATGCAATTTTTATACCCGTACTCTGTCTGTCTGTCCGTCTTGTTGAGCGCCTAGATCTCAGAGACTATAAGAGCTAGGGCAACCAAATTTTGTTTCCAGACTTCCCACCGCGGTGGGAATCGCCCGATGAGGAGTAACGTTATGACTCTTTGAACTTGAAATTTTTGGAAAATATTCAAAAATACTTTTAATACCTGTTCGGGCCAGCGGCTACTTAGGCGTCTATCATAATATTAAATGTAGCTGTAACTAGTTGTATAAGAGTATCGAAACCTAAGCTTATGTATGTCCCCAGCGTTCGGCAGCCACGTCGGCTCTTGCATTGATCTGCCGTCGTGGCCCAGGTAGTTCTATGCTAATCTCTCGCCGCATAGGTTGCATACTGAACCCCCGCTTGTGCACATTTATCTGGCTGGGCAAAAGAGCGAGCAATTGGCTTCAGCTAGCCGCCGGTATAAATAAACATTATAACGTTTTAAATCAAAGTCTTTAACTGATTTGGATAAATATAGGTGCCAAAAAAGCTTGGTAGCTCAAACATTGGTGACCCCGACGTGATTTAACTACAATTTTTAATCGCGTTTCGTTTAAAACCTATAAAAATCGAATAAGATATTCGTTGCTGTGCCGTTTAACGACCAACAAATACATTTTGTGCAAATAAGAACAGTTAAAGTGCAAGTTCAGTGAGACTGCAGCCGGCTAATATTCCGTTGCTTAATCGCCGATTCTCTCTTGCTCTGCGCCGCTGCAGCCGCGGCCCTTGACTTTCCGTGTCTTCTATTCTCGCCTCCGTTCTTTCGCCGTCGCTTAAGCGGTCTTACATTTTCCGATGTTTCGTTGCATTACACCGGTTGGCATGGACAAAGAGCCGAATACAGGTGCGGTCGGAAATATTGCGGTGAAGGAAAAAAGGCTGAGGCTTTACAAGCGTAAAGTTCAGTCTCTGCATGATCGGCTGCAGCGTCTTGGCCAGTCATTCTCGGGGAATAAAATCGACAATCTAAGTGCGGCTGATATAGATGTGCGCCTCGATATGTTGGCTGAAAAGCGTGAGGAGTTCCATATGTGGAATATGCGGATTTTATTGCTATGTTCAAGTCGGTCATCGAAGGGGATGCAGATGTCAGTGAAATCGAGAAGTTCCAACATCTTCGCTCATGTCTCTCGGATGCGGCCTGGAGCTCTCCAGTGCCAATTATCGTGTGGCTCTGGACATACTTAGCTGACGTTTTAATAATAAACGACTTGTTTTCCAGGCACACATCAAGGAGATTTTTGGGCTCAAGAAGGTAGATTCGCATTCTGCTAAAAGGCTTCGGGAGTTTTCGGACGCAGTCAACTTGCATACGCGCGCCCTGCAGACATTAGGAAGTGATAATCCACATGCTGCTGCAAAAGCTAGATGAGAAGACCCAAACCAAATGGGAAGAGACTGCGTCATCGGACAGGATACCCACAGCTGGGGAATTCTACGATTTCCTGGAGAAGCGATGCCAGAAGATGGAGAACGTGCAATACGCTATAGCGACACACGCTGGTAGCGCTCAGGTGGGAAAAAGCCAGTCTACACACCTTAAGAAAACCTTTGTTGCCTCTAACTCTTACGCCGACCCGTCTGGATGCCCTTTCTGCCACTCAGCGGGCCACGGAATATACTCGTGCAGCATCTTCACAAATTTATCTCCTTTTCTGCGTCACAAGGAAGTGAAGAAGCTGTCACTGTGTTTTAACTGCTTAAAATCGGGTCATCGGACTCGTGCATGCACAGGTGGCCAGTGTAGAGTTTGCGGAAGGAGGCATCATACCTTGCTGCACTTCGACTCATCTATATCGCAAAGCTCCCCAGCTGGTTCTCCTCCAGAACGAGCAGTACAACCAGGAGCTATTACGCCGGTTCAGGATTCTGCCAGCAGTGTGCCGTCTCATGCGTCTACCTCTCTTTCTGCCCAAGGTCTCCACTCCGATATTGTGCTGCTGGCCACAGCTGTTGTTTTGGTGAAGAATCTATCTGGCGTTTTGGTTCCTTGTCGCGCTATTCTAGATTCAGGATCTCAGCTTCATCTCGTTACCTCCAGGTTCGCCCAGCAGCTTCAGCTTAGGAGAACTCAATCGTCTGCCCTTGTTTCTGGTCTGGGCGATACTAGCGTGCCCACTGAGGGATCCACCGTCAGCATTTGCATGCAGTCTCGCACTTCGGACTATTCGACCACACTCACTGCTCTCATCGCACCCACAATCACAGATAGCCAACCAAGTCTGACAGTTAATGTAGCCGATTGGAACATTCCCTCCAATATTCAGCTTGCCGATCCCGCATTCTTTAATCCTCAGCGAGTAGATCTCCTCATTGGCGCGAGCATATTCTATGACATTCTCTGCGTAGGACAAATCAAGCTCATAGATGGATTGCCTCTTCTGCAGAAGACCCGACTTGGGTGGATCGTATCTGGTGGTGGACAGAGGGTATCAAGCTCGTCGCTTTTGGCAACCCAAAATTCTCCGGATTCGGAGGATATAAGGAATGCAAGGTTGGATCGAACTCTTCGTATGTTTTGGGATTTTGAGAATTGTGTGGAGGCTAGCTTGAGTACAAAAGAAGAAGTGGATTGTGAGGCGCATTTCGTAAGCCACTTTTCACGGTTGCCATCAGGGGAGTACTCTGTTCGACTGCCTTTAAAGCATGATGCTGATCACTTGGGAGAGTCCTATACTCAGGCGTATTGACGATTTCTCAGCTTGGAGCGAAAACTGGATTGTAATCCCGCGCTCAAGGAGCGTTACTCAGCTTTTATGAAAGAGTATACTGATTTAAAGCATATGTCCAAAGTCCATCCTGACTCACGTAGAGGATAGTACCACGACAAAGCTCCGTGTCGTTTTCGATGGCTCTGCAGCTACATCAACTGGATGCTCCTTAAATGATGTGATGATGACACGTCCTGTTATTCAGCCAGCATTGTTTAACATACTGATCCGGTTCCGCACATATCCCGTCGCTCTCACTGGTGACATTTGTAAAATGTACCGCTGCGTAAAGGTATCTCCGCCCGACAATTTTCTCCAGTGTATCCTATGGCGAGATTCCATCCAGTCCGAGGTTCAGGTCTACACATTAGACACCGTCACACGGTACTGGAGATAGTACGAGGGCTGCATCGTTTTTAGCGGTCCGCGCAATGCACCAGCTGGCCATCGACGAGGGTAATCCCTACCCTCTAAGCTCAGCTGCTCTGCAACAGGAGTTCTATGTTGATGATCTCATCTCTGCCGGCAACTCAATCGCAGAGGTCATGGAAAAGATGCGCCAAACTTCAAGTCTACTGTCTTGCGGTAACTTTAAGCTTAGAAAATGGTGCTCGAGTAACCAGGAGGTTTCATGATGGAAGCGACATTACCAAAACTCTTGGTTTAGCTTGGGACCCTGCATCGGATCAGCTGCTGTTTGCCTTGTCCGCGCTGTACACGAATTCAAGGCCCTCCAAGCGGTCGGTTTTGTCAACTATTGCGCGTTTCTACGACCCTCTTGGATTGATTAATCCTGTTATTGTCAGGTGCAAGATCTTTCTTCAGCAGCTTTGGAAAGAACATTTGGACTGGGATGAAAGCCTACCGACAGCGCTGCACTCAACTTAGATTGACCTGAGAAACAGTTTGGCAAGCATCTCCCGCATTTACTTTCCTCGCGTTGTCCATCATTCCAGCAAAATTGTAGAGGTTCATGGATTTTGTGATGCCAGCATGGAAGCAAATGGTGCTTGCATATAGGTCGTGTCCAGGCAAGGGGAGTCGTCGAGTAATGTTTTGTGCTCAAAGTCTCGAGTGGCGCCACTAAAATCATTGTCGATTCCAAAGCTGGAATTGAGTGGAGCCCATTTGCTTGCGAAGGTTATGTGCAACTTAAAGGAGACGGGAATTTTTCCAGGTCAGTTTTACTGCTGGTCGGATTCGTCTACGGCGTTATCTTGGATTCGGGATGAGCCAGCCAAATTTCAGGTTTTCGTTGCAAATCGACTGGCAACAATTCAGGAGTTGACGCAAGGCATGGAATGGCGCTATGTTCCCACATTGTTGAATCCCGCTGATATCCTCTCCAGAGGCTCGCTTCCCAGCTACCTCATCCAGTCAGAGCTGTGGTTTCACGGCCCCTCGTTTTTGTTAGGTTCTAAGGATGAATCTGCCGTTTCTGAAGCTCCGCTGCTGATCGCGTCTCCACATGCCGATCTCACGTCCGGATGCAAATTTGCTAATTCTTTCTTTGGCATGCAGCGCACATTCGCCTACATGGATAAATTCGTTCATCGTCTTAGGCATCCTGGACTCACGGTTTCTGACATACAGCAAGGAAGGCATCTTCTTGTTCGACACGTTCAGCTGGCAAGTTTGTGATAGGACATAAAGGAGATTAGACGCAATGGGCAAGTCAGGAAGTCTAGCTCCATCAGTTCGCTATCTCCGTTCATCGATCCGTCAGGTTTACTTCGAGTTGGAGGTCGTCTCGGCATGCTCAGCAGGAATCAAAGCCGTCTCGAAAGCGGTTAGCAAGTGGGTAAGATGCTTCAGGACGAGGCCGCGTATGGTTGAGCACATTATGGGAGACTTGCCTAAGGAGCGTCTGGAAGGATCGCGGACCTTCGAAGTAACTGGAGTGGACTATTGTGGACCCTTTTTCTACCGATCAGAAATCCGCACGAGGCCTCCGATCAAGTGCTACATAAGCGTGTTTATTTGCTTCACATCTAAGGCCATACACATGGAGCTTGTTAAAGATCTGACCACCGCATCGTTCCTAGGCGCACTGAAACGTTTTACGTCCACTCGAGGAAGGCCAGGTCATATTTGGTCGGACAATGCTACAAATTTCGTTGGCGCTAAGAATGAGCTTCTGGAGCTGAAGAAGCTTTTCCTGAGCGACTGGCACATGAAGGAAGTCCATGAATCCTGCTTGGCTGACACCATCAACTGGCATTTCATCCCCCCGCGCTCTCCGCACCTTGGCGGATTGTGGGAAGCGGCCGTGAAGTCCGCCAAGTATCACCTGTACCGCTCAGTTGGGCCATCCATCCTTAGTTTCGACGAGCTCCGCACCTTGATCTGCCAGATCGCGGAAATTGTTAGTTCTCGCCCTTTGCTCTCGCTTTCAGAAAATCCTGATGACTTGGATGTGTTGAGCAGGCGTCATCTGCTTTTGGGAGGCCCGCATCAGTCAATTCTCAAGCCTGACCTAACGAAGCTCAATTACAACCGTCTGGATGGTTGGCAGCGGGTCACTCAACTGCAGCAGACATTCTGGAGGCATTGGCGCGAAGAGTATCTGACTCTTTTGCAAGAGCGCTCGAAGGGGCGTACGCCTGCGAAAAACCTCTGCGTCAACGATGTCGTCTTGGTGAAGGATGAGAATCTTCCTCCAATGCGTTGGCCACTGGCTAGAGTGGTCGACGTCGTCAAAGGCAAGGATGGAATATGCCGCGTGGCTGATTTGAAGACGGCTTCAGGAACCATCAGCTGTACTCGGCTGTGTTTTCTGCCCCTTGAGAAGTCAGTTGAAAGGCGAGCTTCCAACGGGGGGAGTATGTTCGGGCCAGCGGCTACTTAAGCGTCTATCATAATATTAAATGTAGCTGTAACTAGTTGTATAAGAGTATCGAAACCTAAGCTTATGTATGTCCCCAGCGTTCGGCAGTGCTGCTGCGCTCTCCCTGTTAAAGGGCGCACCTGCACCTGCCGCGTCGGCTCTTGCATTGATCGGCCGTCGTGGCCTAGGTAGTTCTATGCTAATCTCTCGCCGCATAGGTTGCATACTGAACCCCGAACCGATCGCGAGCATGCAGGAAAGATAGGTGTTAGACTAAAATTCGAGGAAAATTAGAGCTAAACACAACTCAAAGAGCTAAACATGCAAAGATAGCTAATAAATATAGCTAATTACGGGAAAGGTATGTTAGTATTAGTGATTTAAGAAGAGGAAGGGAATTAGTAGTTGATATTATGTGGTAGAGGGAATTGAAGTCCGAGCAAAGTACCCTAAATGGTTCGTGCAAGGAATAATTCGATATACAAAGCGGAAGGAACAAAGGAATGAAGTTTCTAGTAGATCTAATTGGAATCGTAAAGTTTATGCGGCTCAACAAGTCAGGGCTATCTACGTCACCCTTGATCAGGTTGTGCATAAAAATCACACCAAGCATTTTTCTACGACTAACTAAGGTTGGAAGGTTTATTAAAAGCAATCTACGAGGATAAGATGGCAGTCTCACACCTGCATCCCAGTTAAGGCCACGCAGAGCAAAAAGTAAAAAGTTTTTCTGGACTGATTCTATACGGTCCTGGTGTACTTTGTACTGGGGGCACCATACACAAGAGCCGTACTCTAAAATTGGACGAACAAGCGAGATGTAGAGAGTCTTCGTTATATAGGGGTCGTCAAATTCCTTTGACCACCTCTTTATAAACCCAAGCACACCCATGGCCTTATTTACCATGGTAGAAATGTGTTCAGAAAACTTTAACTTTGGGTTTAATTTAATACCAAGATCATCAACCAAGGTAATTCTCTCAAGAGAACCACCGCGATGAAATGTCATTACTTTGCATTTCGAGGCATTTAGGTGTAACATTGATTAAAAGTTATTGAGATCGGATTGCAAGCGAGAGTGAAATGAAATGTCCTTATACTGGACACAAAGTTTAACATCATCCGCATACATGAGTACTCGAGAGTGTGAATAGTGTGAATAGTAGGGGGCCTAGATGGCTGCCCTGTGGTACTCCAGAAGTAACCTTAACAGGTGAAGAGAAGGAGTTTTTGAAGAGGACTCTTTGAGACCTAGAACGAAGGTAGCTAGAAATCCATCTCAAAAGATTAGGCGGAAATCCTAAAAGGTCAAGTTTTTGTGATAAAAGGGAATGGTTTACAGAATCGAATGCTTTTCTAAAATCAGTGTAAATGACATCCGTCTGCAAGTTACCTTGAAAGCCTTTAATGATAAAAGAGGTAAACTCTAAAAAATTTGTGGTTGTTGATCGTCGCCTTATAAATCCGTGCTGGGACGGAGATATAAGTGATTTGCAGAGATGTTGCAAGTGCGGAGTTAAAATTTTTTCAAGCATTTTAGGAATAGCGGATAAATTAGATATACCTTTATAATTATTTGCATCAGACTTGCTACCTTTCTTATGGATCGGAATAATAAAAGATTCCTTCCAGATGGGGGGAAGCATGAAGAGTTAATGGATAGGGTGAAAAGTTTAAGCAAGGGTCCATACAGAGCGTCGGCACAGTACCTAAGTACACAGCCGGGAACTCCGTCGGGACCTGGTGAAAACACCGGCTTAACTAGTCGAAGATCATGAAGCAGTGAGCTTTCATTTAACAAGGGGCTGAAGATGCCATTCGACCTTGGTAAACTGTTTGGACGGCTGACGGCTGAGCAGAGTAGCTTTCATGAGAATAGGTTGTTTGGAAAAATTTGGCAAAAAGATCGGCAATTGCCTGATCGTTGTTTACTGATATATTGAGAAAAGATAACGAGGATGGATGTGCGGACGTTCTACGCTTACTATTTACGAAGCTGTAAAACTGCATCGAGATAGGTAGTTTTTATAGCATTGAGCGTTAAGAACGGAGAAATTTGACCGAGCTATTACATAGTGAGAAAGAGAAGAGGGAGAACCAACTTCTCGAAATTTTTTATAAAGTCTTGATTTCAAGTTGTTTAGACTGGATA